GCTAAATAATAATAATAATAATAATAATAATAATAATAATAATAATAATAATAATAATAATAATAATAATAATAATAATAATAATAATAATAATAATAATAATAATAATAATAATAATGATAATAATAATAGTTATTATTATTATTATTATTATTATTATTATTATTATTATTATTATTATAATATTTATTATGTGTTTATTTATTTATTTTTTCTTATTCTAACTGCTTGCACATAGTTCCAAATTTCAATCATGAGAAAACATATATCTTTTTCATTTTTTCAATTGACAATTAATAGAAATGCAAAATCAAACACGGCTCAAGCACTCCCCCACAGTCCCATACGACACCGTTATGTCGATATATTCTGATTTTTCAAATGATTATAATTTCATATATCCTTTTCACGTAGACCTCAACCATATTAATATTTAATACTACTACAAAATAATTAAAGTTAAAACATTAAAGTAAGTCAAACAATTCACACGTGTATTGAAACTTCAACAATTCCAAATATATATACATAATTGTAATATTTTAGTTCCTATATAAATAAAAGGGCAAATAATAAAAAATGCGCTGATTTTTAATTTTTGTTATATACAGCGCACATATAAGCGCCCACATAATTCGAGTATGCTTCGTATCTGATTACGAGACTCCACTACTTAGTAGTTGGACCTAATCAAAACCTTCATCACGTTATAATTATTGCTCATAATACACAGTCTATTCTATACTACATCGGGTGAAATATATTGGATATATCTTTATCATTTATATACACCCACACGTACATTGGTATGTGTAGATCAACAGTAAAAAAAATATGCGGTGTAATCTTCACCAGATATAACATAGAAATAACCCATAATACACAAGCTAACAAATATGTATATAAATTAGGTAATATTAAATACTTATTTCATTTTAATATTATGCTAACTAAGATGTCACTGGCAATGATATTATGGATCCACTAATTAAAGGGTGTCCCCACAAGTTTGGGACTTGATTTATATGGTTGGACCAACCTGTTCAAATTTTCAAGTATATCATAAAATAAAATAAATAAATAAAAGATTTCGACACGGTATTATGATTATGCAAGCAAGTCGTATCTTGTAAATAAAGAGCAAAAATATCATTAAAATTAGTAAACATATATAGTAAATTATGGCCAACTTTGAGATACATTCAAATTACAAAAAAAATCTCTCATATTTCGATAATTACAATCATCTTTTCAAATAAAATGGGTTTTTTGTAATTTAATTTTACTTCAGGGAATGGGAATGACAATAATTTGTCCCACCATATATTGATGCATCATAGGCCTTTTCAATCTCACATCAAAAGTAAAAGTTGTGTGGGCATAAATAAACGTCTTATTCTATAATTAAAATGTTATTTTAAGTAACAAAATATAGGCATGTTAAATTTTGGCCCAATTTTATTACTTAAGTTAGACAATAGACGTATCCCCTACGAATCACCATTATTTAGAAAAAGCAAGCGTGTCTGGTGCCATATTGTCAAAATCGGACGTGGTTCTATGGGGTCGAACTGGTTCAATCCGATTTGTATTTTTTCTTATTATTTTATAAAAAAATATTATTTTAAAAATGCTATTTTCTTTATTATTTTTTAATCCCATCTATTATTTTTACTTTTATCCACCTCACTCCATTTTTTCTTACACTTTATATGTACTTATTCTTTATTATCCAAATGCGGCAATCTAGTACCCCTATTCGACCACTCGTGACTATATTCGACAATGCCACCCTTATTCGACCATCCACGACTAGATCATGCCACCAACAACTAAGTCCGTTAAAGTTCGTTCCAATCCAAATACAAATAACCAATTTCACGGTGATTTGATCTGTTTTGGCCGAAAATCGAGTTCCTTGGTTGGTTCGTTGATTCCCAGGTTTTACCCGGTCGAATCAAGTTTTTATTTTTTCCGATTTTAGAGGTCAGGCGACCGCCTCATCGTTGGGTCACGGTTGGATCCGGTTTTGACAGCATTGGTCTAGTGTATCTATCATTATTGGGCAAAAAACACATTTTTTTTCATTAGAAGTTTGTTAATAAATATTTACGGCATTTCAATTTTCAAAAATAAAATTAAAATAGTGGGAATACGATTTTGTCAAAACAAAAATAATTGGAATATGAATTAAAAATAAATAAATAAATAAAAAATAATAAAAAAAAAAAAAATTGAGCGGACACCTTTCACCAATCAAGACCACCAAATCTAATCTTTAATCTTTTATGGGGCAATTTGCTATAGGTCCCTCCATATTATAATTTATGTGTATAAATCCAAGTTAAAGTTTCCATATTTTAATAAATTAATAATATATATTGAGTCAAAAATACCCTTAAGTCAAATCAAATCAAATCCCAAAAAAATTCTCTATCAAAACAAATTCTCAAACAACTCTCTTCCAAATATTAACTAAAAAATGAAATTAATCCGTTAAAAAATATACTATTTATTTTACAAACTCATACTCTAAAAATGCCACCGCCGCTGCACCACCGCCTATGACTCCGTGAACTCCGACTCACTCTGTTAACCGCAAATAGCAAACTGAAAATTAGAATTTGTATTATTGAATTGCAAACAACAAAATACCTCTGATTTCGCCAAATGCTATGACTCCGTGAACTCCGACTCACTCTGTTAACCGCAAATAGCAAACTGAAAATTAGAATTTGTATTATTGAATTGCAAACAACAAAATGCCTCTGATTTCGCCAAATGCAAACAACAAACTGAATTTGTTTTCTCCAGAATTTGCAATATTGAATTGCAAACAAAAAACTACCTATGACTTCCCCATATGCAAACAGCATACTGTAAAAAAAATAGCATAATTTGCTATGTTGAATTGAAAGTAATAAACTATTGATGACTTCATCAAATGCAAACACCAAACTGAAAAAAAAAAATCAGCATCATTAAAAAACATTAACAAAAAAATTGTTTATGGAACACGTTGCAAACAACAAAAACATTGAACGGAGTTTTCGTAAAAATGTAACTTAAGACATACCTTACAAATTGTAAACTAGAGGAATCGAATCTCAACACCCAACGCAAATTCTTCAAACAATAAACGAAGTTAACCTCTAAACATAAATTGCTAACAACAAACGATGAAGGTTCTACATACGAAAAACTCAATGCCAATTTTGACTAGGGCTTGAATTTCTGAATTTTTTTTGGGAGGAAGATGTTTATTTTCCTCTTTAATTATTATCAAGAAATCAACTCATAATCTATTTTTTTTTCTTTTTTCCTTCTCTATAATATTTCTTCATAAGAAAAAAAACCAAAGAAAAAGAAAAGAAAAACATAGAAGAACGAGAGAGAGGGAGACGCATGAGATACAGAGAGAGAGATTGAGGATTTAATATAGGCGGAGAGAAACGTGAGATTGGAGAGAGAGAGAGAGAGAATGAATGATATATGAGATTTGTTTTCTTATTAATTGGGGGTGTTTATGTCTATATACTAATTATTTTATTTTATTTATATTATTTTTTTTGGTCAAATGACTTATGCCTATATTGATCTACTAACTAGGATATCTACCTATATAAGTCCAAAATTAGGGGTGTCTAAGCAAATTTCCCCATCTTTTATTACTTTAATAATTTTAGTCGAGTTATGATATGAATATGACTCACCATCTAACTTTGATATACCCTTTATTTATTTTTAAAAGCACCAATATATTTATTTATTTATTTTTAAAGCCCAAAAGGGTCTAAATATTATCAGGCCCGTTTATTTATATTTTCAAAATTGAAGCCCAATATATTAATTTATCGCATAAGCCCTTGGATCAAATATATTAATTAATTAATATGTTTATTAATTAGATTCTCAAGTCAAAACCACCACTGATTTACTGAAGCAAAATCGTTCAAGCGAAAAGGAGAGGAGCAATTGCTATTGAATCCGCATGGTTATCCACTTCTTCTTCTTTTATGCGTTATTATTTTTTTTTTGTTGTATTTTATTTATTTATTAATTTTTTGTTTTTTTTAATTGATTTCAGGAAAAAAAGGGTAAAGTTTCAGATGATGAAGCAGAAGCAGTAGTAATTGGAGGTATGGTGCTTGACATAAACGCCACCCCTTCAATCGCCGCCAATCCCAGAACCACCACTCCCGGAAAGGTTTACTGTGTGTTCTGTGTGTGTAATTTTTTTTATTTTTTATTTTTATTTTTTTTTAAATAATTGTGATGAAATATTTGTATGCTCGTAGGAAATTCAATTTTGCATATTCTCTTAAATGTGTGTACTTCTTTATTAAATAATGTCGAATTACGAAAAAAAAAAAATCCATCATGTTTGGGTAATTACAACCAACCCCCTCAACTATGAACCTTCTTACACATGTCCACCCTTGCGGTGTCAAATTTAGTGGAATCTTCTAGATTATGTGGAATACTCTCTAGTTTGTACCCGTTTTACCCCATTCGAGCTCCACATTTTGAAATAAGATGATCATAAGATGTGTTGTAAAATATCAGATTGTGATTGTGGTGCATCAAAAACTGCATTTTTGAATGAACAAAACGAGTACAAACTAGAGAACATTCCACAGAATTGTAGAAGATTCAGTTGAATTTGATACCCAAACATAGTTGAGGGGTGGTGGTTGAGAATTACTCAAATATGAAGGGCGTTTTCGTAATTTGACCTTACCTCGGGGAGGTGGAATGACATTTTACATGTGTGTGTGCGCGTAATGTCAGGTTGTGTATACATTAGGCGGTGTGGGAAGAAATGTAGGTGAGTGCATGTCGAAGCTTGGGGCGAAGCCTTTCATGATAAGTGCATTAGGGTTTGACATGGCAGGTACCTACTTACACTTATTCGCCATGTTTAACACATGTTTAATTATTAATCCATTATTGTAAAACATGTGTAATACCAATTGCTTCCCTTCTTTCGTTTTTTCGAGTAGGAAGTTTGCTTTTGGAAAACTGGAGATCTGCTGGATTATCGGTAACGGGTAAATAGCCGCTTCGTTTTTTTTTTCTTGATTAAACATTGGTTATTTGACATGCTTGTTTGAATTAAGTAACTAAGGTTACGGGAATTACGATGATGAAACATTGTGGAAGTTTCACGCATTTCCGTGTAGGTCTACGTATTTCAACATCTAAGGGCTCGTTTGGTTGAAAAAAAAAATGATTGTGTAATCTTAACTTATAGGGGGTTGTGTGCTAAACTATTTTGCCGTGTAAGAGTAAACTGTTATCGAGTTTTTACAATTCATTTCTGATCAGGAATTAGAAGAAGCCAAGATATAGATACAGCTGTCGTATGCAACATCTTTGACGGTGTAGGAGAATTGGCTGCTGCTGTTGCTAGTGTTGAATCAATCGTAAGATTTTTTTTTTTTTTTCTCTTTTTAAATTAAAAAAAAAAAATCGTATTTGTGCTAAATAAATCTTGTTAAATATGTGTATGTTTTTACGACAGGAAGAATTTCTAACTGCTGAATGGATTCAAAAATTCAAGTCGAACATATGCTCCGCACCGGTATTGATGGTTGATGCTAACTTAAGCCCGCCTGCTCTTTTATCCTCTTGTCGATGTAACATTTAGTAATTATTTTATTAATTGCATTTTCTAACAATAATTATTTCTACTAAATAATTAGTTCGGTGAATATAAATTCCTCCAGTGGCAGCAGAGTGCAAGACTTCCGTATGGTTCGAGCCAGTATCGGTCGCCAAATCCAAACGAGTTGCTTCCGTTTCGAAATATGTGAGTTTCATACCCTCTCCGATATTGGCATATTCTTAATATTATTACATCGAATTTATCGCATTTAGCCAAAAAACTCCTTGTGTTATAAATATTTGCAAAAAAAACCCCTATAGTTGCATATTTTTTTAGCGAACAACCCCCTACATTGCGGGCTTTGGCAGGGTAGTTTGCCAAAAGAATTACATCATGGGGTATTTTTTGCTAATGTTTATAATACGGGGAGTTTTTTAGAAATGAACTTATAGGGGGTTGTGTGCTAAACAATGCATTATAGGGGGGTTTTAACTAATATTTATAATACGGAGAGTGTTTTTAGCAATTATCTTTTAGGGTCCATTTGGATGGAGGGATTTGGGGAGGGATTTGATTTGGGGAATGGATTTGAAATGACTCCAATTTTGGAGTCATTTGAAATCCATCACTATTGCTCCAAAATCAACTAAAAAGGAGGGGTGGGGATTTGAAATCCATCTCCAAATCCCTCAATCCAAACAAGTCCGAGGGATTTGTTATTATGGATTTGAAATCCCTCCCCCAAATCCCTCCATCCAAATGCACCCTTAGGGTAATGCGTGCTAAAAAAATGCATCATGGGGTTTTTTTTTCGCTAATATTTACAATACGTGGAGATTTTTAGTAATTAGACTAAACACAGGGGTATTGAATGCAATAAACCCTTATTGCATCACTGATTCACAAAATCTTTTTTTTTTTTGAACAGATAACTTACACCTCACCGAACGAAGACGAGCTAATCGCAATGGCAAACGCTCTTTCATCCGAAGATAAATTCTCACCAATTAAAATAGATTCCAACAATGCTAACTTTTCGATTGAAAAATTGTTCCGAAAACTAAAACCTCCAACATGGATTTTACTCGAGAAAGGAATTAGAGTAGTAATTATAACCCTCGGAGCGCAAGGAATATTCTTATGCTTCAAAGCAATAAACGGAGTAGAGAAAAAAGATTACACGACAAACGCGCCTAATTCTTTCAGCAGAAAATTATACGAAGCGGTAAATAAAAGCTGCCCTCCTAATAAAATCTTGGGCAGTCCCAAATCGAAGGGGAATTATTATATTGCAGTACATTTTCCGGCACTTTCCGCCGCTGTGGTGAGGCTGACCGGTGCAGGAGATTGCTTAGTTGGCGGCACGATAGCTTCGATTTGTGCTGGTTTGGATGTAATGCAGAGTGTGGCGGTCGGTATAGCGGCGGCAAAAGGGGCTGTGGAAACGGAGAAGAATGTTCCGGAAGGATACGGATTGGCAAGAATTGCAGGTATTTATTTATTCTGAATTTTGCATTTTGTGATTTCTTGAATGGGAGAAAGATTAATGAATTGAATCGTTTTTCGTTGTGTTTGCAGACGATGCGAGTATTGTCTATTCTGAAGCGAAAGTCGTTTTCTGCGAATCGAAGTTATAACCTTTTTTCGGATTTTTATTTCTTTATTTTTTATTTTTTTCCCTTGTAGTATTTATAGACATTTGGTTATAAAGTTGTGGAAAACATTATTATAGTCAAGAGTTGTAATAATATACATTATTTCTACAACAGTTCAAGTATCTAAAATAAAAAATCAAATTATTTTAGCCAGGTTGTAGCAATTATATTTTGGGTAAATTACAACCGCCTCCTTGAGGTAAAGTCTATTTACGGAAAAATCCCTTACTTTGAGAAATTATATCCAACCCCTTTAGTTTGTAAATTACCTACATCAACCCCCCTATAAAAGGGTGTTAATGTAAGAAATCTACAAATTGTAATTATGAAAAAATGGGGTGGAGTTTTTTGTAAATAGACCTTACCTCAGGGGGAGATTGAAATAAAATTTCCGGTTTTTTTTTTTAAATAATGGTTTTCAATCCAATTTTCTTTGAAATTTTTCAGATTGAAATTGCAATTAGTTATTATTTTTTTTTTCTTTTGCTTCTGAAGAAAATTTGATTTTTTTTCGAAAACGCTAATTTCTATTTGATTCGTCTTATTTTAATGGGTAGGAGAAGACACTCTGTTTGACAACTATTTATCACTGATAATTAAATAATTAATTAATTCATTAAAAAGAAAATCAGAAAGCAGTTCGACAAATTGATGATGCCAGCAAAGCTCCAAAAGTGGAATATTCCTAGAAATTTCTCTAAATAATTATTAATTAATCATAGGATTAGCAACTAATTAAATTCCGCACAAATAAAGATTGAAATTGAATTCAATTTTTTTTTCTTGAAACAAAATTCATTAGTATTTGCAGTTTGTGTTGAATTCTATACAGTATGGGTAAAGGAGGAGGATGTATGCCCAGTAAGAACAAGCCACCTGAGAATATATCATCTCCCCAAAATACCCCTCTCTCACATACCCAATTACCAATCCCCAGTATCAGTATAATAACTGATTCTGCTGCTGTGGAAGAAAAATCCAAGAAAAAATTAAAAATATTCATTGTGTTCTATTCAATGTACAGACACGTGGAAATCCTAGCCAAAAAAATCAAGAAAGGGGTTGACAGTGTTGAGGGCATTGAGGGAATTTTGTATAGGGTTCCGGAGATTTTGTCGCCGGAGATTTTGTCGCAGATGAATGTGCCTAGTGATAAAGATGATGAGATTCCGATTATATCGGTGGAGAAGTTGGTTGAGGCCGATGGATTTTTGTTTGGATTTCCGACGAGGTACGGATGTATGGCCGCTCAGATGAAGGCGTTTTTTGATTCGACGGGGGGTTTGTGGAGGGATCAGAAACTCGCCGGAGTTCCTGCCGGAATCTTTGTCAGCACCGGTACGCAAGGCGGCGGCCAGGAAACCACCGCGTAAGTCTTTACTTAATCATGGAAATTTATGTTTCGAAGTAATATTGTAGGGGTGGAACTAGCACTTTCAGAAAACTTTTAATTTTTTTCGGAAGTGAAAAACTAATTTCAAATCTATTCAAAAAACAAAGTCAGAATCGAATTATGATAATATGTGTTTTATAAGTGTAGATTTGGAAAGAAAATCGGAATTTTTGAAAATTAAAACCTGATCGAAAATCGAAACCACCACATAAGTCTTAACTAATTATTTGTGAATTGCATTTTAGTCTTTAGATGATAAAACGAATGGTGGTAATTGTTGAGTTTTTTGGCTGGTTCATTTTATGCTACCGTACACGTGTATATATTCATACATATTTTACAATATATATATATATATATATATATATATATATATATATATATATATATATATATATATATATATATATATATATATATATGATAATTTCAATTTCTGATTCAATTTAATTACTGAATTTAGATTAACCGGTTCGGTTTATTTTGGTGCAGGTGGACGGCAATTACGCAATTAGCCCATCACGGAATGTTGTACGTGCCGATTGGATACACATTCGGTTCCGGAATGTTCGATAACGATAGTATAAGAGGAGGTTCGCCTTACGGAGCAGGAGTTATATCAGGTGATGGAACAAGAGAACCTACTCAAACTGAACTTTCTCTTGCAGAGTATCAAGGCAAATATATGGCTTTGTTTGTCAAGAGATATTCTTATTAGCCATTTAATAATTACAATTTACAACCAACCCCTTGAGGTAAGGTCTATTTACCAAAAAACCCCTCCCTTTTTTTCCATAATTACATCCAGAACCTGCAATTTGTATATTCGTTACATTAACAACTCTTTGTAGGGGGTGGATGTAAACAAATTACAAACAAACTGCAGGGGATTAGATGTAATTTCTCAAAGACAATGGGTATATTTTGTAATTACACTTTATTACGGGGAGGTGGTTGTAATTTACCTTAGGTTTGTTTTATTTATGTCTTGATGTAAATTCTCCAAAAATGAAATTATATTTATTCAGCCATTCAATTTAAGCTTTAATAATTCTGATATGCTAAATCCCACACCAATTTTACCAAATCATACACACAATTGAAAATTTTTCTCTCTAAAATCTCATCTTCTCCTTTCCCATCCTTCTTCTTTTTCCCTAACTTTTTCACAAAATCACACACTAAAAACGTCCATATCATTCCAAGTTCGAATTTGAGAAAAATCTCCATGTGTTCAAACTAAAATAAAGTTGGAATTTGAGGAAAAAATTCGAATTGATATGAATTTAAATAATTACAAAGGCATAATGAAATTGAAAAATATTAAATAAACCTAAACTCATTTTTTATGATTATTAGCGTGAAAGATTAACGAATTTTGAGTGACTTGGAAAAAATCATCATGGAGAAAAGTTAGAGAGAATATAAGTAGAGAGGATTTTTTTTTTTAATTTATATGTGGTATTTAGTAAATTTTAGTGTGGGATTTAGCATGCCCCTTAATAATTATATTAATTTTCAAACCCTTTAATTTTCCAAAAAATATAATAAAAATAAAAATATTTATCACCAACACACAAACGATAAAAATTTAATAACAGTAATTATGAAACAATTAGCCAAAAAATAATTACATCCACCCACATGAGGTAAGGACTATTTACAATAAAACCCCGCCATTTTTCAATAGTTACATCCAGAACCTGCAATTTTGTACATTTCTTACACTAACACCCTTTTGTAGGGTGTGGATGTAAAAAAATTACAAGCTGCAGAGGATTAGATGTAATTTCTCAAAAAGAAGAGGTAATTTTGTAATTTAACTTTATTACAACACCATTTTGTAGGGTGTGGATGTAAAAAATTTACAAGCTGGAGGGGATTAGATTTAATTTCTCAAAAAGAAGAGGTAATTTTGTAATTACACTTTATTATAGGGAGGTGGTTGTAATTTACCACAAGTTTGTCTTATTTTTGTGTCTTTATGTGAATTCTGCAAAAATTAAATTATATTTATTCAGCATTACAATTTAAACTTTAAAAAATATATTTATTTTCAAACAATTTAGTTTTCCAAAAATATTAAAAAAACAATTGAAAAAGATTATCACCCAAAACAAAAATTTAATAACATTTTTACGAAACAATTAAAGCATAATTTCAAAAAAGAAAAAAGAAATATTCACCAAAAAAAAAGGGATTAAAAAAGAGAATGAATGTGGGGTAAGCTACTAGTAAACGCCGTCTCGCAATAAGGATGAAAAAGTAACGGCGTTATCAGCGAAACTTCCACGGATCGTTATCGGCCTCCCATGAATCAGATAAGAACCAAATTTTAGCTTATCTGGGATTATGAAGGCTCTTTTTTTTTTCTCTGCTACCAAAATAAAATTAAACAGGTAATTAAAAAAATAATGGACGATCGAAAACCGGAAACCAAAAGAAAAGGGAAAGGAAATGCGGGACAGGCGGCGGAGGTATTGGCCGGAATAAATTACACGGCGGCGCTGCTGCCGTTCTGCCTAATTGAAAACATCACTTGTGTTATTTATAGGAGTAATGGGGCAATGAGTCCACTGCCAGCAAAGCCCTAATAGTGCCATTATTTTCGTTACATTATAAGATTATATTAAATAAAATTCGCATTATAATATTAATATGAAATCAGCATAGATGGGCCATGCCCATCTAATTTATGAGGACCATTTATGTGAACCTAGTAATATATTAATAAATAAGGAATAAAAAAAATCATTTGTCGTATCATCTTAGATGGGCCAGGCCCATCTAATTTTAGTGGATCAATAAAAGTTTTATTTAGTAATTACAGTAGGACTTCGATAAAATAATAATATCACTTAAGTAATAATTTTTTTGGGTTCCAACTTTATAGAAATTGTACTAAATTATTAGATTGATAATTTAATTTTTCACTAAATTAATAGGATTTTGTTAATCCTGACTAGTGACAAAGTCAGGATCTTGTTGGACTAATAATTATACAGTGGTTCGAGTTTTAGAGAGTGTTTGGCTAAGCTTATTTTAAACAGCTGATAAGCTCTTTTACGTCTGATAAGATGTTTTTAGAGCTGATAAGTTGTTACATCTTATTTTTAGGGTTAATTTCTAAAGTGTCTGGATAATGAGCTTATTTACTATTTTTACTCAATATAAGATCTTAAATAAAAAGGTGGGGTAAAGATACTTATTTAAAAAAATCTTATTTGTTCTCCAACAGCCTATTTTAAAAAAAAATACCAAACACTTTAGAAGAGATTATAAGCTCTAAAACATCTTATAAACTCCTTTTAACATCTTATAAGCCAAACACCCTCTTAGTAATTTAAAAAAAAAAATAGTATAAATTAAGTAATTATTTTTATATTCTAACTAAATTATATAAATTATGTTGTATTATTTCTAATGCATCCCAATTATAATTAATGGATCTATTTAAACTAATTCACAAATCAATTAGGTGGGCTAATTAAATTGAATTAATATTAAAATAATGTATAAAAAAATTTAGCTCATAGTGAACTTCAACTCACCCAAGGGGTACACATAACTCCGCTCCTGACCCCGACTGTAATAATTTATAGAGTTTTCAATGTACATTCACGTTCATGTATATATGAATAATTAATTTCTCTAAATATTTGATGCACTTTTTTTTTATCAAACAATCCAAATTTCGTTTGACTATTTTTGGTAGCTGACAAGATTTGTCATGATTCATCCACCACTTATATCACGGATACAATCGAATGTCTTAGAGAAAACTTTCAAGAAAAAAACAACCAAATCACAACTTGTCTAATAGTGTTTTTTTTTTTTTTTTTTTGACAAATAAACTTAGATAGTCCTTGCAAAAGCTTGTTTAGAAGCATAATTTAATAATTGTAGGTTAAGTTGAACTGAGTGCTTATTTACAAAAGTTGGGGGCATTTACAAATTAACTGAAAAGTCAACTAAAATATAAAAGACAGGTATATGTGCGCTTTTAAAATTATAGCTTAAAACAACTTATTTTAAGAGAAATAAAAGCAAAAACTTGTTTTGCAAACACCTAAAAACAGATTATGTACAGGAAAAAAAAACTGACAATCTATTTCTAAAAGCTTTTGCAAACACCATCTTATTATAATGTACACATCATGCTTTTCAAGACATTGTATGCGTTCCAATTCACGATATTACAACTCATATTTGACTCAATTTATATTGTGTTACGTAAAATTAATTATGCCCGTGCCGAGTATTATTTATCGTTTTAACGAAAAATATTGTCGCTCGATTTCGCGAATGTAGTGGACACATGCATTTTGTCGCCAACGGGGGGCATGACCCCTAGCATTTCTCAAATTCATAGTATTTTTTTATATAGAATATAATGACATTTTATCTAAAAACTTAATGTATTATTCGTGAAACGATTCATTTAATATTTAGCAACTCCACGTGCAAAACATTCATATAAAACGATCGCATAACAACTAGTACGTCGATTACAAACAAACTAACATGAAATGAACATTAAACGTACAATCGAAACATCGCAAGCAAACACTAGAACTAACACACACACACGAACAAAATAAATTCAAAGCAAAATTAACTAATTAACCGATTAATTATGGTTTTGAAATATTAATTTCAGCAGTGGGCGATTTGGGTCGGGTCACATTTCGAAGGAAGCTGCATGGCCCGGGTGGAATTTATCCCGAAAAGAGGCAAGTACTTGTTGTTCTTGAACGTGCAGAAGCACGTCGCGTTCGCGTGCGTCAAGGCGGTGCAGCACGCGGCGGATGGCGGCGGCGGGATGGCGGAGCCGGCGGCAACCGCCGGCTTGCACTCGAACAGCTCATCTTGGCTCATCCCGCAGAGGCCGTTGTCGTCGCTACTCGCCGCCTTTGCCATCCCCGATACGGCGGAGGCGGCGATCACCACGAAGGCGATAAACAATGCCCTAACAGCAATTTGTGACGCCGTCATTTCTTAACAAGAATAATAATTTTTGCACCTAATTAAAAATTTGTTTATGTAACTTTTTTTGTGTAGTTTTAATTTCCATTTTTTTAGCATGGGGTTTGGGGGTTTATATAGAAATAGAGTCACTAGTGGGGTAGGTGATACCATAGGTTTTCAACGAATCAAACAATGACACGTGTTTGGCTGAGATTCTTTTGGAATGTGTGCATGGTGTCTTTAAAATATAATTTACTAAAATTATGCAATTTAACGAAATTGCATGTATGTGAACATTAAATCTTACTTTGAGATCATTATATAACTTTGATTAATAATTAAATTTTGAAAAATAAATATTAATTAGTAAAATGAGCTTTTTGCTTACGTGGACAAATTATGGTGAAATAGTTGTCTTAGACATGCATGCTTAATTTAATTTTATTTTTTATTCTGTTAAATCAGTTAGGGTTTGGGCGGATCAAACCTCAATTGTTACATAGTTAATTTGAAAGTTTATTAAAGCTAATTAATTAGGGTTTGGATATGGATTATTAATAATTAATATTAAAAAAAAAAGATAAATGGATTTAATTGGTGACCACTAAAATTCTATCAAGATTTAAAAGTAGAGCCCGTGAGTGGAGTTGACTGGCAAATCTTGGCTTTATACATCACGGGTTTGCTTCTTTAATCCAGTTTAGTGTTTAATTAACAGATGTAATTTGTACTTTAAAAATTAATATTTTATTTTTATTACCTTTGGAGTTGATGGTTTTGTCAGGTAATTTGATTTGTTAATTACCACTAATTAAGCTTTGTGCATATAACGAGCTGAAATAATAAAAAAAAAAATCATTTTAGGCAGAAAACAGAATCTGCCAATTTCGAAGAAAATTTTAATATCGAATTAGCGAGAGCAAGCAAGAGGTGAAAATAGGGGTGGTAAATGTAAGGAATCTACCAGAAGAAAGCTTACAAAAGAAAACTCAAAAAATGGATGTTAGTAAAATAACATCACAAGATAAATAAATATGAATGTATAAACAGAAGTATGAAATTGAAGACAGCTCAGTCTTCCAAACCAATTCACACACACAGATCCACAAAGGTATCCACTGTTACACACAATCACAGTCTAGGATTGCACCATACTCAGAACCAATCCCTCTCTCTGCACTCAAACCCCCTCTAACCACCCAGATTATCAGTAAGACCACGAAGAAGAAGCACTCAGCTCCTCACCCACTCACCACAGACCCCAACTCACAGAAGAAGAAGGAAAGGTGTTTGAAATTAGGGTTTTGGTCTTGGTCTTACCCTCTGCCACACATCTCTCCGCATTAAATAGTGACTCCAGTCAAATGGAGCCGTTGAAGAGACAACCACTGGGACAAGCACGGCCAAGGACGGCGGCGGATGGCCCATGGTTGCTGGAGCAAAAGAAGAAAGAAGCAGAGGGGGACCAAAGGAGAGAACAGAGATTGTCTAGGGCACAAAACGAGAAAGGGGGTACAAGGGAGAGGAAAGGTCAACTAGAATGAACGGCTGAGATCACACCAGAACCAACGGTTCAGATTTAAGCCTTCTAGATTTATTCTGGTTTGGGCCTTTCCTAATAGACAAGTGTGTGTGTGTAATGGGAAATTGGGCTATAGGCCCAAGACACACTTGGGCCACAACCATAACAAATCTCCACCTTGGACCAAAGTGTATCATTAGTGAATTTTATGGTTTATTGGAAGTCATCATTGTTGTTTTTGATATACATGTAAAACACAAAGTAGTACTAGCATATCTTTCTGATTTCACATAGACAATCAGAAGAGGTTGTCACATAGACACAACACATTGTAGTTCACAAAGAAAAACATGCACACATTCAGTCACACAGACAGCACATAGTCAGTCACACAGACTGTAGAAAAATAGCACACAGCATTTTAATCTTGGGAAATTAGGTTCAAGTTTTTCAAACAAGAACGAAATTTCTCAACTGGTAAGCACTTAGTACCCATATCAGCAGGGTTGAACTCTGAGGGAATTTTTTCAAGGTCAATAATCCCCTCTTCCACAATTCCTCTAATAAAGTGAAATTTAATCTCAATATGCTTAGTTCTATCATGGAAGACAGGGTTTTTGCACAATTGTATACCAGACTGACTGTCAGAAAACACTACCACTTTGTTCCTGTAAAAACCAATTTCAATCAGCAGGCCTTTAAGCCAGATAGCTTCTTTGAAAGCCTCAGTTGTGGCTACATATTCTGCCTCAGTAGTAGACAGAGCCACAATGCTTTGAAGCTGAGATTTCCAGCTTACACAGGAACCATTCAAAGTAAACACATAAGAAGTAGATGATTTTCTGCTATCTCTACAATTTGCAAAGTTAGAGTCCACATACCCACAGAGTTCACTCTCAGTTTTACACTTAGAAAACAGCAAACCAAGTTTAACAGAACCTTTCAAATACCTAAGCAACCACTTAAGAGCCTCCCAATGAGGCAAACCTGGATTAGACATATACCTACTCAAATAACTCACAGAGTAAGCAATATCTGGTCTTGTGCTGACCATTAAGTACATAACAGACCCTATAGCATTTGCATAAGGCACATTTTTCATCTCAGACATTTCAGGTTCAGTCTTGGGAGACTGTTCCCTACTTAGCACAAAATGGGCAGCAAGAGGAACAGATACAGGTTTTGCAGATTGCATAGAAAATTTCTCAAGGATTTTTTCAGTGTAAGAAGATTGATTAAGGAACAATGAACAGCCTTTTCTATCTCTGATTATGTCCATGCCAAGTATTCTTTTAGCATTTCCAAGCAATTTCATGTCAAATTCATCACTAAGACATTTAATGACATAATTGATTGTTTTAATACAAGGGCTGGTCAGAAGCATATCATCCACATAAAGGAGCAAGAAGACAGGAATTTTGGCAGAGTGTTTGAAATACAAGCATGGATCATAAGAACTTCTCAAAAAATTTAAGGATTTCATGCATGCATCAAATCTTTTATTCCACTGTCTAGGGGACTGCTTAAGACCATACAAAGATTTTTTCAATAAACACACATAATCAGGATGTTTCACATCAAGAAAACCTTCAGGTTGTTTCATGTATATTTGCTTATCTAATTCACCATGGAGAAATGCAGTTTTCACATCCATTTGTTTTAATTCCCAATCAAATTGAGCAATTAAGGCAAGCATTATTCTCACAGTAGTAAATTTCACAACAGGAGCAAATATTTCAGTATAATCAATTCCTTCTTTTTGGGTGAACCCCTTAGCCACTAGCCTAGCCTTATATCTAAGTGAATCAGATTCATGTTTAACTTTAAACAGCCATTTACAGTCAACTAATGAGCATTCAGCTGGTTTTGGCACAAGAGTCCAAGTATGGTTAACATGCAAAGATTCAATTTCTTCATTCATAGCATTCAACCAAGACACAGATTCATTAGATTTAAGGGCTTCCCTATAAGACTTAGGTTCTTTACCATCCAGAGACTCAAAGACATGAAACACATAAGATGCAAGCTGATAATCATCTAAATGATGAGGCCTAATGATGTTTCTTCTACTTCTGTCCCTAGCAAGTTGGTAATCACCAAGATTTTCCACATCAGGCACATTAGTATCAACATTTTGATCAAACACATCATTTTCAGGCACATTATTATCAGTTTCACTATCATAATCAGATATAGTTTCATGTTGAGCAGGTATAACAGGGGAAGTCTCCACCTCAGCAGAGGTAGACTCAGAAGAAATAACAGACAGACAAGGAAACTCATTCTCATTGGATATCACATTTCTACTTATCACAGTTTTAAACCCCTGTTCCCCCTTAAGCCAGCACCTATAACCCTTAACCCCCTCTGGATAACCCAAGAAAACACATTTAACAGACCTGGGATCAAGTTTATCATGTTTCTGGTGCACAAAAGCAGAGCAACCAAATACTCTAAGATTAGACAAACTAACAGGAATACCAGACCACTTAGTTTCAGGTAATTCACCACATAGAGGCACAGAAGGTGATCTATTGATCACATATGCAGCAGTTAAAATAGCTTCACCCCAGAACATTTTAGACAAGCCAGATGAATTTAACATGGACCTAACTCTATCAAGTAATGTCCTATTCATCCTCTCAGCAACACCATTTTGCTGAGGGGTGTAAGCTACAGTTTTATGCCTCTTTATGCCAGATTCAACACACATATCATCAAATTCAGCATTACAGAATTCAGTTCCATTGTCAGTTCTCAAGGTTTTAATTTTCTTTCCAGTTTGATTCTCAATTAAAACTTTCCATGCTTGAAATCTTTGAAACACATCAGATTTATTTTTCAGCAAGAAAACAAACACTTTTCTGGAAAAATCATCAACCACAGAGAGAAAGTATCTATTACCACCATGACTAGGAACAGGGGCAGGGCCCCACACATCAGCATGTATATATTCAAGGATATCAGTGCATTTTGAAGAGTTAGGGAAAGGAGACACAGGAAATTGGACCTTAGTCTGTTTTCCTAAAATGCATGAGTCACATATGGGCAGTTCAGACACACAGTCATTATCAAGATAATTGTTTTTATGCAAAAGCTCAAGCCCTTTAACACTTATGTGACCTAACCTCCTATGCCAAAGACTAGAATGATCATGTTTAACAGAATTAGCATGCAACAAGGGTTCAGCAGAACACACATACAAATTTTGCATTCTAACAGCTTTAAACACGAATTGATCACCTTTCATAATATTTTGGCAACCATTTCCCCAACTACCATGCAGACCACTATCCTCAAGAACAGCCACATAAAGCAAATTACTACTCAAATTAGGAACATGTCTCACATTTTTAAGCATAAGTTCAAAACCAGATTCAAACTTAAGGATAATAGTTCCTAAACCAACCACATTTACACCACTGCTATCAGCCATAGACACATTGCCATTTTTTAGTTCCACATAGGATGTAAATAGGTGTCTATTAGGTGTCATGTGGTGTGTGCATGCAGAATCAAAGATCCAATCATTATCACATAGAGATGAAATCACAGAGTTCACACAATC